TCCTCAATAAAGCAAAAGTATCTTTTATCTGATTACCTGATTAATTGATGGAATAATAGAATAGTTGCTGGACATCTTGTAGAAGTCTTTTTGTCTCGGTGATAACGGGGCTCACAGTTTAATTAAATGTCTCACATGTTTTGTCTCCATGTGAAAGTCCAATTATACCATCAATTGTTTATTTGTACTTTTTATTGGTTTCAATAAATTGGGGTTAAAAATCACCCTAGAACATCAAATTGGACCGATTTGAGAAGTTGTTCATTGTTATGGTTTCTGCAAAGTACTGCAGGTTAAACAAGAATCTTTGTTTCTTTGTTTGCTGATGCACCTTCAGTCTGTAACGGGACAGATCTCCGATCTTCTATCCATCGTTGGTCACCTTTGCGGTTCCTCATCTGCTGAAAGTCTTCTCTCATTCGGAGAAAGAGAAACGGACGATTCTTAAGAATGTCTTTTGTTGTCAGATGGTAAACGCTGATAGTTGATGAGTGTGCTGCTCTGGAGGAGCAAAAAAAACAAAACCATCAGCTTCCCGAAGAGGAGGGAACGGAGAGGAAGGTGTCCGGCCACAATTGATTCATGCCACTTTTCTCCTGACAGAATCTGTTTTTGTTTATTGAGACATTTATTAAACCGGATGTGAAATGTAAGCAGTTTCTGTCGCGAGGAAGCAAAAAAAAAGTAGGAAAAAAATTAAATCTGTGCGTCGGCCTTGAGAGCGAGATGAAATTGCTACAACAGCGTGATCAAAGTATTAAATGAATAAATGCATTGGAACCAAGTGTCATTCAATCCGTCCACGTTGTGAGATTCTAGTTATATTCATATCTGGTTCAGCTGTTTTATTTCTGCTGCCCGCTCTGCACCACAGATACGGGTCCTAAAGCCTCTACTGTGTTGTATTAATGTCAATATATCTGTTTGAAATCGACCAAAGTCAGCTACATATTTAGTGAAAGGATCTCTTTTCTGGAGGTTTGCATGTATCTGTATGCAGCTTCATTTTTATATATTTGGCTCATGAATGTCAAATCATTAAGTGCAAAACTAATTTCATTTTTATTGCAGCAGCACATATAACCAATCATTTAAAGCTCTCAGAAAATACCTGACACTAAACATTTATTCTTATTGGCTGACTCGGGCTTACATTACCTGCATGGGGTTGGGGTCGGTTTGGACCGTAGACTGTATATAAGAAGTGGACGTAGTCGTTGGGACGTAACTCTTTGTTTTGTGGCATTTTCTCCGTCGCCATCTTGGATTACGGCCGTCGCCATGTTGTTTTTTTGCAGCCAATGAACAGGAAGTGACCATATCTGGACTGAGGAGTGACGTAGAGACTCTGAATACATCTCTGCTAGACCCCCCCCTGACCGATGTGGGAGTACATGCTTCCTCTGTTTGGTTTATGCCCCTTATTTGCCAAGTTAATGGACTATCTTGATAGTTTTTAGTCCATTAACTTCAAGTCTTTTACACATAGCATTAGTGCCAGTACACCACGGTTTTAGAAATCAGCATAAAAGGGAAGGTTAGCTTTGAAAAATGGTGGTCAGTACGTGTGTTTGCCAGATAGTCATTCAGACAAAACACCCAATTGTTGGAACGTAAAAGAGAAATCATGATGAGGATTTTAAGAGTCACTCTATGATAAAATGTCGTCTCTTAGTTTTGTGTAAAACCTCTTATCTGCTCCTGTTCACCTCAACATATCTCACTTAACACAACTTGACTTGTGGCAGCATGCAGACCGATCCATCGAGGCGGCTGTGGGGAGACGCATCTCTTCCCTGTGATAGATTTCTCTCCCCTGTTGCTCTTTGATTGTGAGAGACGTTTCCTGGTAGGTGATAGTAAAGAAGAACAGCTAGACATGCTCTGAAATGTTTGGACCCTTATCCACCAGAATACGTACAACACATGCCACATGTGTCAGATCTGATCGTAGCTTTCTCTCTAAAGAAGGTGTTGCGGTTTATTTCTTTAGATTCTTGTGTTGCTCTTGATGCAGTTGAGCAGTCCAGTGTCCTCAGGCCATTGTTGGGTATTGGGGGCGGGCGGGCGGGGGGGGGGTTTAAGCTGTTAGAGGTGCAGACTTGATTCATGAGTGGTTCAGAATCTGTTCATCAGCCGTGAACCCTCAGGGATGTTTCTATCTCTGCCACACCAGGCTGGATGTTGACCCGACATTAACATCCGTCCATTTGCGCCGATGTGAGGATGTTAAGAGCTTCAGAAATAGACTCTTAGAGCTTGTTGACCAGTCAAGTTTCTCCTTATCCGAATGTTGCAGAAGTTCTCTCTGCAAGACGACAAGCATACAACTTTTAAAATGCTCGTTTTCTCAATAGATCTTGGATCGATTGTTGACGTTGTAGCTGCTCCATCAACATTCAAAATAACGTCATACAGGCGTAAATACGTCAGCGTCGTTATCGTATCGTGTTGCGTTTCTACGGGCGGTCAAGCCGGCCGTCACTCGTATCTCTTCATCACACCAGCCGATGCTACGGCTGTAGTGCCCCCATATACTAACATTTATGGTAAATGCATTCAAGCATCCCAGATGGAGCTGACGGTGTCGGTATAAAAAGAACCGAGCTGACTGGCAAAGCTGGAATAAGTGACTATGTCCGGTTTTTAAAATAAGGTGTCTATACAAAATGCATATATGGAAATAAGATTAATTGGATTATATTCACCAGAAGCATAAAGAATGTCAGCCGTGTCCCTTATGACGTAAAGAGAAAATACCACTAAATTGTGATCTTTGACTTTTGGGTTGCTGGAGAACATTTTAATAAGTAATTCTTGACAATGATATATTTGATGATTACGTACATGCTGAAGTCAAACATTTTGTACTGTATCAATTTAGAAATGTTTGAGAGTAAAAGTCCCTAAAACTGATCGCTTAAAGATGGTAAGAAAAGTCAAATCGTGAGTGAAGCTTATTGTCCCAGCGCTAACTTTTAAGGCAAAGTTGTCCTTTACAAATAATGACTGAATTAAAATAAGGGTTTTGTAAATACACACTTCTATTGTCCTCAAACTACGGTTTTGTGTGCTACTAAAATTCAGCTTGTATATTGTTTCATGTCAAGAAAGACGCCAAACGCTAATTATAACATTCGCTCCAAAGGAAATATTTAGTGAAACGTGGTCGTTGGAGGTAGAAGTCACATGTATTCCTCAATAAACTATAGACTTTACTAAATCTTAATTTGGTCCCAGGTTGATGTCGTTGCTGTAGTTTACGTTGCTGTGCAGAACCATCGGGGTCTGAAACACTTCATTTCACTTCCTACCTTCAGACCCGTCTCTCTTCATCATGCTTCCTTCATCACCGAAGGCGTTTGCAGATTTATGCTTCTGGCTCGGCTCGAGCTTTGGCTGCACTTTTGCCGAGAAGACAGCTGGTAATACTTTAATACATAGACACACAGGTATCATCAGTATTCAGCAGAATTAAAGGCTACCATCACCCCCCACAGGTCCTCCAGATGTTCACCTGTACATCTGGAAGTAAGAACAGACTCTCGCTGTGTCTGATAGCGCTCCCTTTGTTCCCTCGTTTATTAGTTCAAACAGAATACAACAGTCTGTGTGGAGCTGTTGGATACTTCAGAGACTTTTATTGTTTTATGTCTTTTAAGATATGAGGATTATTTCATACTAGCAATCCCTGTGACCCCTGTATGTTTACTAAGATTTAAAGTACTATATATAAAAAAATGAATATATGGTTTAGGGCGGGGCTACACAGTGATTGACAGGTCTCTACGTCACTCCTCCTCAGTCCATATATGGTCACTTCCTGTTCACTGGTTGCAAAAAAGCCAAGATGGCGACGGCAAAATTGTTGAACTCAAGGATTCAAAACATCAGTCCACAAACCAACGAGTGGCGTCACGATGACGACGTCCACTTCTTACACAGTCTGTGTCCTCTGATGGTGCTAATGAAAAAAAGCAGCTTTATTCTGTAAGTGTTTGTCTGCATGGACCCATGTTTGAAACCCTCAGAGGAGGAGGAGGAGGAGGAGGAGGAGGAGGAGGAGGAGGAGGAGGA